GTTCTAAACCGTCCTGAACTGTCTGTCTGATCATTGGGTCCAAGTTTCTGAGGCCATTACAGTAACGCACCAAAAGTAACCTCTCCCATCACATAACAAAACACAGGAAGTAGCTCTATGTTGGATCCAAATATTATACATTTATGTTTATTAACTTAAAAAAGAAAAAAAATACAAACTGAATATAAACTAAAAATCTCGTCAAACATCTCTCAGTCAGATAAAAATGCATTTTTTATGTGCAAACAAGATCTTCAAAAGCCCAAGACCAAAAAGTCTTGGGCTTTTGTTGAGTTTGTTTAGGGCTGTTTAAGTCTACAGCTGCAGGTTGTTCTTCAAATTCCTCATCAAGAGCTTTAGATCGTCTGGTTCTGACTTGTTAGAACATACACACCAGTGATGACCCGGAACACCTGCTCAAGGAATCTGGGTTTAAACCCTCCAGACTGAGTAGATGCCAGACTTCATGTGACCCACTTATTCCTCCCATATGACCTACAGCCATGGAAATTCAATATCTGCATGTTACACATAATTCAAATAAAAAAAAAAAAAACAACCTAAGTCATTATAACTATGCGGAAGACACATAGCCATACATTACTATGTGAAAAGGTGACTTTGAACTCTAAAAATTTGGGTGAAAGAGGATCATTAATATAGCTAGAAGCCTCCAATCAGGCTTGAAAATGTGGGTGTAGGTCTTTGACGCTGGTCTCTCAGGCTCACTGCCCCACAAGTTTCAGAACCATATTATTGTTTCCATCTTATTTTCTCTTATTTCATGTAAAGCATTCTGAATTATCTTACTAACAAAATTTGCTAAATAAATAAATAAACTTACTTTGCCTATATTGCTTACGCAGAATCTTGTAGAATTTGAAATTTTAATTTCCTGGGGTACACAAGTATTAAAACCATTTAATGAATAAAAAATACTTTGAAAGAAACCTGATCTTTGAAGTCTGGACAACAAAATACTTTAAATAGAATTTACAGATTTTCAAGTTGAGGCAGAAATAACTTTAAATTAATCTCATTTATTTGAGCACACTATGAGGGTAAAATATATGATGCAGATGACATTTATCTATGATATGGAATCTTGTCATGATTCTGTTCTTTTCAAGCCCATCATCTCTGTCGTTTTGTGCATCTTTATGCATTTTTGCTATTCAATAAAATAACATTCAGACTGTTGTGTTCTGTAATTATGCTCTATTAGCTCTAGATGAAAGTGTAATTGAAGCTCACGTCAGGTCACACAAATAACTCAGCAAACATTGGGATAAATTCACAGCAACTTAAAAATATACAAATTTATTAGACATTATTCAACTTCAGGTTAAACATATTTCAATTACAAACTATTAGCTAAGCTAGAGAAACCTCAGAAAATGTCAGGGCTGCTAAGGTTCACTGTGACAGTCATGACCAATTTTCACGCACCACGCCACACATTATATTTTGCACGCATATTTCCTCTTTCTATATACATTCCATACTCGTAGCGGCTTGCCATAGATCGAGAAGCATAACTTTTTCACTGACTGTGATAACGAATTCCAGAACAATCCATCAGTCCTTTGTGCCGGAATCTAGCCAACCGCAGAAGGCACCATGAAATACAAACCAATCAGAGGTATGCGGCAGGTCTTCCTTCATGTCTCTAGCTGTCTTTATCGCCATTATTTGCTGACATTTAAAACCTCCTAGAAGTTCTCCCGATTGCTGGAAGGTAACTTATCCGATTTTGTTCAATGCTGATTTGCTGTTTCTCCTTAAGTTTTCTAGTTAATATGTACTGCTTTAAATTCTCTGTAAGTTTATTATTTCCTGTATTTATTGCAAAGTTGCTGACATTTTATGTACCTCTTCTCTTGCCCCTTTCACATTTAAAAACGAGACTAACGACCTCAATGTGTGTTAGTGTGCCAGTAACAGACAGGAACTATATATATATATATATATATATATATATATATATATATATATATA